ACAAAATGTACGACTTACAAACACCCGCACACAGGAAAGTTAATGAAAATTAAAGGGATGATAACGTAATCAAAAAAATTGTATTTATCTAATTACCTGTTCTTGCCCCAATCTGGCTTATGTAGGTAAGACTACGAGACCATTGAAGATAAGAATTGCGGAACACAGAAGTAAGATTAGGACGCAGGACAAGACCAGCCCTGTAGCAGTGCATTTTGCAGAAGCAAATCACAGTGTAGCTGCTATGAGGTATATAGGCATAGAACATGTAAAAGTCCCTAGGAGAGGAGGCAACATAGATAACCTTCTACTGAGACGAGAAAGCTACTACATATACACTCTTCAAACACTGCACCCATTAGATCTTAATCAAGAAAATGAGATTAGGCATTTTTTGTAATATATCTTGCACATTCTTGTGGATAAAGATATACCCAACATTTGAATCATGAATTTCATGTACATGTGGTGATGTGCATCATATCTGATATCCAGTAACTTAATGTATTGCTTTCTTGTTTTAAAATTCATTCAGGACCATGCTTTAAATGTAATATGCATTGTATTATATGCTTCTGTAAATGTTTCCTATGTTTTTCAATGAAGGCTGTTTAATGGCTCCGCCCACCACCTAATGCAGGCAACCTAATTATGGCAATAGCCTGCACCTGGTGTAGAGAATCTACCCATATAGGAGGCCACCAGAACACATTGTTGACTTGAACTTGACAAAGATCACACGTTGATCGAAACGTTGTTTGTTTTAATAATAAAGGTCTAATACGGAGTACTGGTGTGTGGGCTCTATATATGTTTTTTCTAAATAATTATTCTCTGCCTTCCTTAACTACCCAGTGTAACTGTCAAGTCTTTTAAAGATGTAAAGCACTTTTTGTGGTTGATTCATCCATGCTGACATTATTTTGCTTGGCTGGAAACAATGATGCATCAGTCTGCATCTTAATCAAATTCCATTTTTGTTTTTCTTTTGCCTACTCACTGCACTTGCAATGTTTGGCCCTTTATTCTTTAAACCTTGATTTTAGGGAGAGGCAGATCCTGATGTGAAGTCATTGACTTTTGGGATATTCATCTACTCTCATAAATGTCTTCATTTAACAGGGCCCATTTAGGGGCCATAGTGCAGGGTAGACAGGACACAAATGTTATATTGAGTATATATTGATATTGAGTAAGCGGATAACCAAAAATCTTGGCAGTATCATCGAGATGAACAAATAATTGGCACAGGCAGGCAAATGTCACATCATTCTTGAATTATTCATACAATCCCACAATATTCTGCATCCCACAAAAACACAGATGTAAGAGGATTAAAATTTGATTATTTCTGCTAGTTGAAATACACAAGGCGTGCAGTCATGTTCCCCTCCCATGTGCAATATGCATTAGTTCTACATCATTGTCTCCAAAGGAGGGCCATTTAAGTTCTGTAATTTGGGTGCAAAATGCACAATGTCTTTCTTGAGTAAATGATCATCTTCAGATTGCCCCATGCCAAACAGTTACATATCTTGGAGGTTTTCGTTGCACACATCAACTTCATGGTTAAAGTAGTAACTTAGGAGGTCACAGGGGGCCCTGGTGATGAAAAACTCCCTTGTAGACCATGGAAAAAGACTTGAGTGGACACAAAACTGGAGTTCAGTTTGGTTTAGTTTATTGGGGTCCCCATAAGCCATTACCCAGGGCAACAACTACTCTGCCTGGGGTCCACACGTAACAAAAGATATATACAGCCCAAGAAATCAAGATAAAATAAAAATAATTTTCCACAGCATGGAAAACAAAAAAAAAAACCTAGAAAAAACCCAAACAACAACACCAACAAAAAAAAACAAAGCTTTGTAAAAATCATGAAGACATAAAACACAAAGTGGCATCTCTAATTAGATCATAAAGAGGCTACCTTGGCTGACCTCTTGGGGCTGTTGCTGTTGCTGACCTCTTGGCTGTGTTCGTTGGTTAGCATTCTGCTTGGGTTGAGACAGAAAAAGATGTGTGGAGGGATTGAAGCTGAAGATTTACTCTTGTGCAAACGGGGTTTTCTGAAAATAATTTGTGTGTTAAAGCTCAAACATTAATAGAGGTTAGACGATTTGCTCCCGAGGTATAACCTTTGTCGCATTAGGGGCAGGGAGAATCTTCCCCCTTTCTTTTTCCCCTTTTTCCCCCTTGTAACAACTCGTTGAGCAAACAGCCAAATTAAGTCGCTAATCTGGTCAAACAAAGGCGACGGGGGTTTTTTGGGGTTTTTTTGGGGGGTTTTAGTCTCCTGGGAGCAAAGTAAGGTGAAGTAAAATAAATTTAAACGCTAAATAATTGTCTAACTAAGTGAACTGTATGATATACAAAGTAAAACAGAGTTGTTTTCAAGGACTGAGCTACTGTCGCCTGGTTTTTCTGTAGCTGACTTTGCTAACAAACTTAAGCAGGCTCTCAACGTCAAGAATATTATCGAATTACCTGGATATCTAACTATTACCCGGCTTGGTTTCATACTTAGTGGCTTGCCTTTCATACAGTCTTCTAGCCAATAAATATTGACGTTCACGAGGGTTTTTTAGTCCCCTTTATCCTGACCGCATAAACGCATTGCCAAGCTTGAATATTAACGCGAACCGGGGTTTTTGTCTTTTTCGCATTTTATTATTACCGAAGGGCTCTTCTGACTAAACACATTGCAAATCACATTATCTTTGCATTTTCCTCCAGTTACGGTGCCTTGATCAGCCGATTAAAGTTTAACTGCTTGTTTGAGTGCTTAGTGACAAGCTTGTTGGGGGAGATACCGTGTTTATTTCGCTCACATAGTAAACGACTTGTTTATTTGGTCCGTTTTAATTAAAGCGAACCGGGGCTTTACCCTTTTCTCGGTTACCCTTGGTTGTATTTGTGGCTAGCTAGCTAGATAATTACTGTTTGCATTTTTGGCTGGGGATCTGAGATTTAGTTTTTAGTTAGTAGGGCAGCAGTCACTTGAGTCGTCCATTCGGTAAGGTTGGAATTTAAACGGTAAGGTTTACCTGAGTGCCCCGCCTCCTCCCTCCTCCAGTTTCTCCTGGGCATTGTAGCCAGTCTGTTTTATCTGGGTTCTCAGCTCAGCCCTGTGATATTTTTAGGCTAGTATATTAATAGTACCGGGACTAGATAAACTCAAGTCGCCTTATTAGGAGTGCTTATTACATATAGAGTTTGTCTCAATTTGGTAATACATTTCTGTTAACTGAAACTAAGCCCCTGTTAAAAGAGGCTTATTATCCATTTACATAGTTTCCCCATGGTTTTTATTGTGACTGCTGCTTAGGGCTTCTCAGGTCAATAAATTAATAAATTGTGGGTCCTGAGCTTCTGTCTCGGCATTAGTCATTTTCTTTTATCTAGGGTGAGCGAGGTCATTAGGTAGGGGGTTCAAAATGTGGCCAAAACTATGTGACGGTTGCAGGATGATCGCACTTTTGGAAAGAGATTTCCAGGGTGGGTTTGTCTGCCACCGGTGCCAGCTAATTGAGCATCTGGAGAGCAAGATTCTTGATTTTCAAGGCCAGTTGGCGGCGCAACATAGTTCGGAATCAGTAGAGTTCCTAGAGGAACTAAATAATATGTTGTTTAGAGAAATGGTGTGTACGCCAAAGCAGGGTGGTGCGGGGACCTCAGAGCAGGCAGGGAGAGAAAGTTGGGTGACTGTAGGACGTCAGCGCAGGATGACCATGAAAGCACCATGAAAGCTGAAAGGTATATAAAGGTTTTAGAGCAACATATGCTCCCCTGCAGATGACATCTATTACAGGGAAGGCCTTGTGAATTTCAGCAGGACAATGCATAACCACATACTGCAGCTATTACAACAGCATGGCTTCGTAGTAGAAGAGTCCGTGTGCTGAACTGGCCTGCCTGCAGTGCTGATCTTTCACCGATTGAGAACATTTCGTACATAATTAAAAGAAAAGCCCGTCCAAGGAGACCCAAAACTCACCAGCAGCTGGAAGCCTGTATTAAACAAGAGTGGAATCAAATTCCAATGACTAAACTCAAGAAACTTGTCTCCTCAATGCCCTAATGCCTCCACTCTGTGTTAAAAAGAAAAGGGGATGCTACACCATGGTAAACAGGCCCCTGTCCCAACTTTTTTGAGACCTGTAGCAGCCATGAAATTTGAAATGAGCTCATTTTATGGATAAAATTGTAAAATTTCTCAGTTTCAACATTTGCTATGTTATCTCTGTTCTATTGTGAATAAAATACTGGCTTGTGTGATTTGAAAGTCATTGCATTTTGATTTTATTCACAATTTACACTTTGTCCCAACTATTTCAGAATTGGGGTTGTAGAACTAGCACTGTGATAATTGGAGTTATTCATTGATTTATCCCCATATGTTGGTTTTAGGGGGGTGCTCATCTAAATTTGGCCATAATTTTTCTATGAATGATTCAGTTTATGTACAGGGGAGGGTTTGATGAAAAGTTGTCCCTTGGGGAAATGGAGACTTGTACATACATTTAGACTTGTTTGATAATTCTCCAAAATGATAACTGCATTTATACATTTTTCAAACATTCTTGTGAACATCAATATCTTTTCAGTTCACAAAGTGCTTTCAGATAATGTTTCTCAAATAAATGCAGCAACAACTGATAGTCTATTCAGCTATCTTTATTTGGGGCTTGTAAATATTCAGAAAAGTATCATGGTACTTTGCGTGACCACAGTTTTGGCCTGCGCGCCCAAATTTTTCAGGTTGGGAGCACATGCGCTCCTAGGTCCAAAAGTTAGTCTTGAGGGTTGCAATATAAACGCTTAACAGGTTTGTTTGTGGTATTTTCGGTATAATTATCCGCTAAAGATTCAACCGTCGTTTTCAAAGTCGTTTTCTGACAGAAACGCGTGAATACTGAGGGCACAACAGTACAAACAAGGTGACTTGTTTTTTTGAGTCATTCTTTATATGAGCAATTTGAGGGCAATGTTACTGTCAAGTGATATAGCCTAGTGGTTAGGGTGTTGGGCTGCAATGCAGACGACTAGTGTTCAAGTCCCTGGTCACACAGACTTTAGCTAGAAAATAGTACCATTTCGCTTGTATAAATAATTGCTGGGGTTTTATTCTTTTGACTTTTTCCCCATTTTTTTAACCCTTTTTGTGTTCATAATCTTATTAATTTGCTGCTTTTTTTTTTTCTTTTTAAATAAATCTGCTCCAGTGGAGCCAAACTTCTTTTTCTTTGTATTTATTGTCTTTGAATGGGAAATTGCATAGGCTATAGGACTGGTAGAAATAATAATAATAAAAAAAATCATAAATTCTAAAAATTGAAAACTGGTTGTATTTGGGTGGAATGTACGCCTGTAGTGACATATAAGTGAAATTAGATGAGTTTTACAGTTTAATATCTTAGAAATCTGATTTGGCACACAAGGTACCTGAATTGCCAATTTGGAGAAGCTACCGAGACATTCCTCGCTAATTTTGTTCTGATTTACTTGATTAGAATAAACTTTGGCACAGATAATGGTGAGATTCTGTGCTGTAAATTTTTAGAGGTTTCAGACTGCAACAAATTAATTTTACAAGGGATAGAAGTAAAACTTTGTTTGGTGTAAAATGAGGTCTTTGATTTATACTGTGTTCCATCTTCATTTACTCTGACTCCGTGACATATACACTGATTTTTACACCATGGCAGAAACCCCAAATGGTTTTACCTTTATTATGATATCAAGATCGTTCAAATGGACTAAATAGTTGCAGATATATACTCATTTCATTTTGGGCTTGCCATTTTCGAAAAAGAGGCTCAGGGCTTAAGGGGTTAAGTCTCACTTACATGGTCTGAAGACATGGTTGATCGGATCGCACATGACATGTCCTGCTTCAGAAAGTTTGCTGGTGTCGTTGGCTCGTCAACAAATGCACGTGTAGACAGATTTTACGACAGTTGTTACAGACAATACCATTTATCAACTGCAGGGGGACACCGTGAGCGAATCCGGCGAAAACTACATAGTGCTGCTTTAATTCATTCAATTTGCCTTACACATCACTGAGATAGGCCAGCTTCAACAGAAATTGCTCATCGCTGAATTTTCTTGCAGCCTCATACATGCGCTCCTCCTCCGAAAAGCCCCGAATCTCTGCTCTCAGCTTAAAGACGCATGACAACACTTTGCCCCTGGAGAGCCACCGCGCTTCGCTGTGAAACAGCATAGATGTATGATTAGCTCCCATCTCCTCACAAAGTGCAGAGAACAGTCGCGCTTTGAGGGGTCGGGTTTTGATGAAATTTACAATTCCCACAACCTCTGTCAGAACTTCGTTTAGTTCGGGGCTGAGCTGCCTTGACGCCAGCGCTTCCCTGTGGATGACACAGTGCGTCCACTGCGCATCGGGCGCAACTCTCTTGATGAGTGCCTGCAGTCCGTTTCTTGTCCCTGCCATGGTCTGTGCGCCATCGGAGCAAAGGCCCACACAGTTTTTCCACTTGGAAGGCCGTGTTCTTTGAACTCTCAATGATCTTAAATAGCTCATCAGCCATGGTTCTGTTTGGTGCATGTATTTGCAAAACAGTAGGTCCTAGCACAGTGACTCGTTGTTCACAAAGCGGATGTAGGATATGAATAAGCTGTCTTTATTGCTCTCAGTTGCTTCATCTACTTGTAATGCAAAAAGAGTTTTTTTATTTTTTCTATAAGTTGATCTTCAAGATCATTTGAAATATCACAGATACGTTGCACAATTGTGTCGTTAGAGAGGGGGATGGTTTTTAATTTGGCTGCGCTTTTCTCATCCATCATGATTGTCACCATGTCTAGAGCAGCAGGCAGAATCAGCTGCTCTGCTATTGTGTGTGGCTTTTTGGTTTGCGCAATTCTGTATGACACTTTGTAGGAGGCCATTTGTGCCTGACAGGTAACTGATGTAGCCTTTACCATGCGTTGCTCCTGCTGTTGATACTCAGTGAGTTTTCTTTTAAAGAAATCCAGTGGCTTGCTGACGTGACTGGGGTGTGTTGCAGGGTGTGTGCTGGCCAAAAATTTCACTTAGCCACAGTGGCTAATCACCCTGAAGTTCGGCTAGCCACAGAGAAAACCATTTAGCCTCACATTTCGGCTTAAATTTTGGTTAGAAACCTTAGAGAACTATGATTCAGTCATCGTGTGCGTGCACAGTCACAGAATAAGTGTACAGACAGCCAGAGACTAGTAGGTGTGTATCATCTTGTCAGTGACTACCTGTACTATACTGTTCTAGCCAGGTTTTCCTCCCATCAGGGTGGTTATTGGCAGTTACAAGCAATTTTCAGATTGGGTGGCTATGAAATTTGAACATGCTGCAAAATGCATTAAAATCACATTTTTAAACTGTGTGATTAAAATTCAAACATGGATGGAAATCCATTAAACATTTTTGAACAGGTAGAGATGACCCTGATCAAATTGCGTGGTGAGAGAACACTGTACTAGTATCTTGACCACTGTCGGTGTTGGCTTTCCTGTAACGGTATGTGGTTTGCATGCTACTAGAGATGAAAATAATAAAACAGAACGTTGTCCAGAAAATGGAATTGCTGCATATTTTTCACAGAAAAATAATTATGGAACTTGTATAACTAACATCCACCAAAACTTTATGACAAACTGCACACAGTCACATGGTAAAAAAATACCTGTTCAAGTGCCTGCTTTGCAAGAGTACTGGGTAAGTATTAAGGACAATTAAGTCCATCCTCCAGTCTACTTATCTGGCTGCTACTTTAGTCAAATGGGAACTTGATCAATAGAAGTCCAATATCACTTTGATGACAAATATTTGAATTACTGGCTTGATAGGGCCAGCTTACCATGCCAAAGATGGTCATTTTGTAATCCCCATTTATGGCCAAGTGATTATTTCATGTATTACAACATGAACAGTTCCAACTTAGGCACGCTGGTTGCTGTGTTATTCAGGGTGTGGAATGGATTAAAAGTTATCCCAGGATACGGCCACCATGAATTCACATCTGTACACCTGGATGCAACCTCATTTTTGGCTTATATAGTAAAATATGACTTGTATGCAATGAACCCACACTCAATTTAGTACTTAGCCTATCTTCTTCCAGTTGGTAATAATAATTGTTTGTCAGAATTATTTTACTAAAACTCATAAGAAATGTCAGATTGAAGTAACAAAAACATGCATATTTACATTATGTAAATTCCATTTGCTCTGAGTGCAACATGTTCAGATTTGAACATGATTGCCATCTAGATAAAATTTATACCTTAATAACAAACCAGTTGTGGACAAAAATGTGTTATAGGCAAACGTATGCCAATATGAGGGAAATAATGGCATAGGTTTGGCTAAATATCAGTAGAAGTTTTCGGATTCAACTGTATACCGTGATAAAGGTTGATGTTGTATGTACTTTTTAGCTTAGTTTTTTGGGGTAATATGTCTGGATGCATCATTCGCCATAAAGCAAAACGAAGATGATTATCATTTTGTTGACAGCACAGTTTGTAGTAGCCAACTCGCGTTATGGATTTGTTTCTGAAAGCAATAGTTTACAATGTAGAGCCCAGAGGCTCGATCATGTTTTGGATTAAACTTAAACGATCATACTGATCGTTAGCTTTTGTGTCTTTCTGTCTGAACGTCAGCGGCACGCAGTCGGCTGCCCTGAGTTAGGCCGAGAATGACTTGTGGCCGAGTCGCACGTAACCGAGGGGCATATCATAAGTTTAAAGTCGCGAAAAATTCTATCATTGTTGTATAATTACTAACAGTTCGCAGGGTAGTCGACTGAATGTTTGTCGTGGTTGCTCTGAACTCTGTTCTGATTGCATATGTGAAGAGTTGTCCAGTTCTGCCTAGTAGACCATACGTTGGCTAATAATCCCTGCTATATTGCCGACTAATTTGCTCATCTTTTTTCTGCTATTTCTGACCTGTGACTGGGTAGCGGCGTTTAGAATACCGGGCCATTCTGACAAATGGCTGGCATATCAACAACAAGTTTGCCATTTATTTAGTTATAAGGTTGCTCTAAGGTATGACGATTGCGTGTCGACTGCTTGTGTAAGGTAGCCCATGTCATATAGAACACCAAGGCAACGCGCCTTATTATCAGCGCCGAGAAAACAATTACTTCATGCGTGGCTCAGTATTGTATTTTAAGTGCAACAAAACAAAGCTTAAGAACCCTAAGTGATGTTGCATGAATTTTCCTCGGTTTCTCTAGAGCTTCTCGTAGTTACGGTAAACGCAACCCATTATATTCAAAAAACTCAGAATATTTGTCCACATAGTAGAGGATGTCTTTATTGTTCAAAAAAATGCAAATAATCATCATCAATCATAAATGAATTTAAGGCCTTTTCCTTTGCACGGCAAAACTGAGCTCGAAGTTGCGCTGGTTTCAGTGCCGATCTTGTCCCACTGACATTAATGCGCTCCTTTAACGAGTGCTTGTTCGGTAAGATATACGTTATCAAATGCTTACTTTCGTTTATCTGTGGCTGTCCCGCTAGTTTCATGATTTAATATTACTGAGGTGGTCAATCTCGAGTCGTTTTCATTGTTTTTAATATGGTCAGGGGCGTTGTGCAAGCCAAAGTTTTGGGTGGGCACACCTTAGCTGTACTGTACAATTTTAATATGTCTAGTTTACATAAATAATACCCATGCAAATAGTCTTTTTTTAATTGAATTTTGTAGTTTACAATTCAACAAATCTATTCCCCACAGTTTTCTGTTATAGGCTACATGAATAAAAAATAATATTCAAAAAAGAGTCCACATGTCCTATACCCAGCAGTCAGTTAATAGTCAAACCACTTACACCACATTCCTTCCCCATCTGGATGCTTGGTGGGAACATGTTCACATGCATTGCATGAGTTTTAGCCTCGTGATTGACTGAAATATTTGCATTCAGGAGAAGGTGTACAAGTGTACCTAATAAAGTGACCACCGAGGTCAGCCTGCGCATTCGGTAGCAAATCAGTAAAAGGCAGAGCTAAAGAAAAATCCTCCATACAGTTGAATCCCAGTTAGCCT